AATAGACAAAAAACGTCGAAATAGTTATTTTCCTAACAAGTGCGCAAAGTGATACTTTCCCGCACGAAAAAGCAGTTAGACGAACGACGCGAAGCGGAGTTCGGATAAGCTTTGAGTGCGGGAAAGACACTTTGCGCAAGTGTTAGGAACAATATTTTTTCTACGAGTATCTTAAAAAAAGTAGACTTTGAATTATTACAATATTAGAAAAATCAATCAAATCAAAATCTTCAAAAATCGTTTAAAATCCATTGGAATTCCTTAGAATGTCTTTTAAATTAAATTCCCAAAAATCTTTTAACATCTTCTGGAATTTCTAGAAAACGTGCTAATTTCAACTAAAACTAGTGCTGGCAAATACCAAGAAAAATCCAAACCGATTAATCGGTTTCTAAAAAAACCGATTTCGGTTAAAATCGATTAACCGAATACGGTTCTAAAATCGGTTAACCGATTACTTGAAATCGGTTAACCGATTACTCGAAATCAGTTAACCGATTACTCGAAAATCAGTTAACCTATTTGGTCAATCGATTTTCGGTTGACCGGTTTTCGGTTAACCGGTTTTCGGTTAACCGATTTGGTTAACTCGGTTTGATTTCGGTTAAATACCGGTTCTCGGTTAACCCTGGTTTAGAGATTAGACGAATTAAAAACCGATTATTCTGTTTATTAATCTAATTTGTGTCACGTGATCAAAGTGGAAAACTAATTTATACTATTTTGTATTTTCTATTTCTACCCTACTGACCGACACGCCAAAAAACAATACCCGAACGGTCGGAGGGCGAAAGGAGTATCACGGAATGCAACGCAGTGATAGCCGTATTCGAGTTTAAGTGAACCTCTAGTGATCTAGAATCTAGATCATTTTTTTTTTTAGTAGGGGTGCACTGATCCAACCTCAATCGAACACGACGTAGATCACTTAAATCGATCAGGGTTGGGATCACGACAAGTGGAATTCTGCTAGAATTCTACTTTCATGACATCACCCGCCACCCATTTTTCGCGAGATGATGACGGTTGCTGGGCCACCTGACGTCATGGAAGTAGAATTCTACTTGTCGTGATCCCAGCCCTCATCGATCTGATTTGGTCAATCGAATAGGGCTATGTAATCCTGAGCTGCTTTCCAGTATGGGAGTGTGACGCTCGGAGCTACTCGGAGCGTCGAGCTCTCGAACTGTCGTACGAAGACAAGCGTGTCACGTTATGAAACTGGAACGGTACAAATCTAGTGCGTGGCGCTTCCGGGGTGCTCCAGAGCGCGCCAATGTGCATAAGTTCCCTAGTTTTCTGATTATTCATTGAAATTTGTTTGATTATGTATTTTCAATTCTCGTCTTCAGTCAGCCAGTTTCTGGTAGGTAAGTATTCGGTTTTCGGTAAACCGCAAACCGATTAACCAAAAACCGATTGACCGAAAACCGATTAACCGAAAAGCGATTAACCGAAAAGCGATTAACCGAAAACCGATTAACCGATTTTCGGTTTGGGTGAAAACCGCGGTTAACAGAAAATCGATTAACCGGTTAACCGAAAAATCGGTCTCGGTTGCCAGCCCTAACTAAAACCCTTCATTAGCTTATTCAGAAAACATCAAAACATTGAAAAATTAAGTATAACTATGGTAATTATGCGTAACAAAAATGAGTGCGCAAAGAGTTTCCGTGCGCAAAGTTCAACTTTGCGCACGCAAATGAGTGCGCAAAGTGATTACTTTGCGCACGCAAGTAGAAAAAAACTGTTCCAGTACAGTACAGTCGCGCTCTAGCCTTCTTTGAACCTCCCAGTAGTATGGACAGCCAGAATGAATACATTATATATTCTGTAGTGTGAACTTTTGAGAATCTCGGTAGTATGAGCAATGTTATAGACCACGAATTTAACCGTTTTCTGCCTACTTGTTGTTTACATCGTATGTTTCCGTTCAATTCTGAGGTTCCCCGAATGTTTCGAAACGAAGAATTCACAGATATTTTAAGTTACTGTATTCACTCTAATGTGGAATATACATGTAATAAACAAGTGGCAGCTCGTCAAGAGCACGTTCAAAAGTATGCAAGTTTTTAGTTCGTTGTTTGTTGTGGTTAATAAGTTTTGTGAAAATGGCGATTTTTTTTTTTTATCTCTCTATGGGTCTGATCTCACAAGAGTCTCTGACAGTTTGCAAACTGTCAGAATGCATCGCCCATGCATGTTTTCATTGTCGTCGTTCCAAGATAAATCAGTAACTTAGCTGAGCGATTGTAACTGACAATTTGGAAACTGACAGGGACTTTTGTGAGAGCAGACCTTGTGAGAAGTCAAAAATTCTAGAAGATTGCCAGCAAGGCAAGAGCATATAGTGGCCTTAATGACACAGAAAGCTTAAAAAACTTTCAAAACAAAGTAGGTAGCCATCGGGTGGTCAGTTAGAACTATTCAGAAAAAAATTACATTTCACTTTAATCAATAAACTGGAAAAATTTACTTAATGGATATGTTTGCAAGAACCTATTGTATTAATTTTTCTTGAATTTTAAATTGAGAGACCATTGCTGACAGTATTTTGCATTTTTAGGTATATCTTCGATGGTTCCTGCATGTGAGCGGTTTTTGGATAGTGTAGCCATGGCGGAGACATTTGCGAAGCAATTTGACACAGCTTTTACAAATAAAGCTTATCCAGTTTCAGCCCTACATGACAAAAACAATAGAGAGGTCTATCGAAGAAATACAATTTACAACTGATAAAGTAGAATAAGCTCTCAAAATGTATGGAAAAAAGACTCAAGCCCAGGACCTAATGAAATCCCAACAGTTTTTCTTCAGAACTGTAGTTAGCCCATTGCTTGCAGGAATGTATCGATCAAATAAAAATTCCAGCACCTTGAAAATATTGCTTCATTACGCCACTGTACAAAAAAAGAGAACGACATAGACCAGAAAATTATCGCCCTATTAGTCTTAATTGTAACCCAATGAAATGTATGGAGAACATTATAGTTAGGGAATAGAGCACTTTGGAATTAGCGCAAAGTTGCTTGCCTCAATCAAGGATTTGTTAGAAGATAGATATTTTCAAGTGAGAGTTAATGGAGAGCTTTTCAGTCCCCATAGGGTAACCAGTGGCGTCGTGAAAGCTTCGGTGATCGGTCCGGTACTGTTTACAGCGTATTTTTTTGATTTGGTGGAATTAATCCAATTGAGTGTTAAATTGTTTGCGAATGGTTGCAAAATCTATGCAAATCTTTTGATATATGCGGATTCACTACAGACTGATCTGTAGGACATTGAAGGGTGGCCAAAAACGTGGCGAATGAAATTGAACGCCTCAAAATGTACAGTAGTAGGATTGATCCAAATAACCCTAATAAAAACTATATTCTCAATGACTCTGCTCTAACATCAGTAAATGAACAAAATGATCTGGGAGTTGTAGTAACCACTGACCTGAAGTGGGAGAATCACATATTAATTGAAGTAACCAAAAAAGCTAACTCCTACCTATACTTAATTAACAATGCCTTTAAAGAACACTCTATCGAGATGATATCTACCCTTTACGAAAGCTATATACGGCCAAAAACAGATTTATACTGTGTGGAATCCATATTATATTAAGGATATAGAACTACTCGAGAAGATTCAGCGCAGAATGACAAAAATTCCCCCATAGTTGAAACAGTTGCCATATCCAGAAACATTACCTAAATTCAATTTGACATTCCCCAAAGAAAGAAGGCACAGCAGCGATTCAATTGAAACCTACAAAATAACCAGTGATCTGATCTGATAAACATTTTCTATCCATGGGTCGAAATCCTCATCTTCCTGGCCATTCTAAGAAGCTTGAAAAGGAAAGATCATCAAAACTTGCTAGGAAACTAGTGCATTGTTGGAATTTGCTTTGTCCAAATACTGTGTTAGCACTAAACATATTTTCAAAAATCCAGTTGACAGAGAATTGAAAGAATACTCTGAAAGAATACATGAGCTAAATCTCACATATCCATTTAAAAGTTTGATAAAATAACAATAGCTTCATCAGCTTCGACCGCCTGCTATTGTAATTCTAATAATTATAATATGTACTCGAATATGTATTAATAATAAAATAATAGAAAATGAGGAAGAACTTTGGATAATACCTCAGTCGTTCATGATCCAGAGAACGTTGTAGTGTTTTATATGGAATGATTGATAGATGTATTGTAAATCCCTTCTCAATGTTTGCGATCCTTATCAAAACCACCAATTTTACGGTTCTTTTCACAAGGAATAATTATTCCCAAACTAACTTTGAAGTTAGTTTCAACAAAAAACTATGTTGGTCATTTAAAAACTACAATTTTCTATCAAGGCATTTTATATCGAAATTATTTGATAAAGAAACCAGATATGTATGTAGTTCTATTCAAAAAACACATCAAAACAAAATATGTGATACTTAATTTTGAGAATCATTAAAACGTTAGCTATTGAATTAGGAATAAAAGTTTGTCCAAAAATGTTCAGATTTTTCATTGCTCATTCATGTATTGTATATGCAGACCCTAGACAAAGGTAATACTTCACACACAGTCAAATATTTTGTCAAAACAATAATTTGAAAAAATAGAAACAAACACATAAAAAGAAAATAAAAACGAAAATAGGCTATTTATTACCTGTGTAGCTTCAACATGATCCCTCAAAAAGCCGATCGCATCATCTAAGCGTTGTGCTTCTGGAGCAGTGGGCTTTACGAAAAACAAAAAAAAAACATGCAAAAACAAACAAAATATAGAAAAAAAAAAAAAAATACAGAAAATTGCGTTTTGAAAGTGCCGACAAAAATAATGTTGTGTATTTGAAAGCAAAATTAAAACACTGCTAAGGTATGTTTCTGCAACTACATTGCTTTCATTGGCGCAAAACACTTTGTTGTAATTTTTGCAGAAATAAACCTTATAATAAATAATAAACAATTAAATCTAAATATGCATTATATCCACTTAAATCAATCAACTTACCATGTTGTGTAAGTTTGGCGCATTAGAAGTAACAGCTTGCGTGTAGTGGGGTGAATGTGGTGTACTGTGATTCAGCCACCCTGTAGGCGCTAGCGGTGGGGGTGAGCTGACAGGCGTCGAGGGTGCCGAACTATAGCTACTGGCGCTGGCTTGTTCCGCCGTAGGGTATATCTAAGCGTGGGAAAAAAAATCAATTAAATAAAAATCATTATTATTGCAAAAGACTTCCGCCGCTACGTCATGATAATATGTATTTTTCCCTAATGCCCAAGGCTTTCAAGTAAATATTTACCAACAAGCTCTAATCAAATGCAATCACTGGCGAGCCCACACATAGTTACATTATAATAAAATTTTAAAATAGTAACCGGCGGAGTGAGCCCACGCGAATCTTTACACACGTGACACAGTTTTCACTGGTTTCATGTCGATTCTGTTGGAGTAACAGGTTTATGTTTATGGTGTGTAATATCTTTTATGGTAATTTTAAATGGATATTTAGCGAGTCTAGGATCTAAATCAAAAATAGAAGAAAACGGTATTTAGTGTCTATGAAGAAAATACAAAGAATATTAGGAAGATATGCAAAATTACGCATCTTAAAATATTGAAGGAAATAAAAGGGTATACTACTTAGTTGAGCTGTTAGAGGCGAATAAAGAGACTCCATATAGCTCTGCTCTAATCTGTTTTGAGATTAATAAGAATTAATTCTGTATGGCGACACATAATAAAAAACTGCGTAAACAAAGTTAAAGCAAAGTCAATTAAAATTGCAGATTTTTTTAAAATGGATTTTATAGAAATATATCTGATATAAGATTCTTCCATTATCAAACTAGCTCAAACTTATAATATTGAATATTTGGATGCTGTTTTTTGACTGTAGGACTTTCTAATAACATCACTAATTAGCAAGTCATGTAAATTGACGTTTGGAAAAATTAAATTGTTTTGCATTACTGTTTTTTGGTTTGCGATGCCCAAATCCCGAATGTTTGTTTGCTGTAGTCTGTAATTTGTTTTTTTTTTTTTTTGTTGGTAGGTTCTAGAAAACTAAGTATATATTCAGCCCTTTTACTGATCCTGTGATAAATAAGCTACCAAAGCCATTTTGAAAGTAGTTATGAAATTTCAAATTTTCATTGAGAAACATCATTATTCCTTTATTACCGTAATTTAACAGTCTTAATTTTGGGGAAACTACGCACAAAGGTTTGACATGAGTTTGAGCACCTTTCGCTTGTGGCTGTGAATTAGTAGAGCACAAGTGCAGTCCCTTCAGCGGAAAACTTATGGTGGAAACCGGAGACGTTCGTGACACACCCGTCATTCAAGAAGTAGGAACGTTCAGAAATTAGTTGGGTATATTATACTAATAGCGTTTCCGATTGGTAGATTCAGTGCGCACTGAGTGTATTTGCATCTTTTTAAGCGACCTGTAGAAGAAAAAGACAGAAATAGAAAAAATTGCACTAGTTCCGCACTAGATCTACGAATCGGAAACGCCATAAGACGTTTGGCAATCGCCTTTAAAAAATTTAAAGTCTGTTTTTTTTAAAGATAAAAGTCAAAATGACATTATGTTGGCAATACAATGTAAAATTGTCAATGCATTCAAATTTTTTATGTAGAAAAGGCTTGTGCTGCCAACATAGTTACTAAATTTTTGACTTGGGAATTATCTTAAAAAAAAACAGACTTTATATTGAGTATGAATTATTATTATATATATATATAGTTATTCAAATATTCCCGGACATTTTCATCATGCGTCCAGACACCGGACAAACCTTAGAAAAACCGGACAGTCCGAGTGAAAACCGGAAAGGTGGCAACCCTATTTGTTGCACACGCTCCAACAACTCTATCTTTGGAGTAGTATGGATTCCAAACTGGGCTCAGTAGACCTGCCCCCCCCCCCCCCCCCCCCCCCCCAGTTGATAATTTTTATCCAAAACGCTAGCCCTCGTTCTCCAGAGCTAGCGCAACCTAGCGCAACTTTTTCGAAAGCTAGCGCAGCTACAGGTCAAAAGATATGTGGCTTTATATTCGGGGGGGGGGCTAGGGTGACGCTAGCCCCCCCCAGTTATTCGATCTTCTCAAAAATTCTGGAGCACATTCGTAACACCTAGCGCAAGTTGTGTCATAGCTAGCGCAGCTATCGTAGCTGTCATACAGGGTGGACAAAAAAAATCATGAGCCCCTACAAGTGATTTTTAATTTTTCAAAAATATATATGGAGCTTCCTTAAAGCTAGTGCAGGTAAAATTCGAGCACATACACACATACAGGTATTTATATGGGAGGCGGCTAGAGTGCCGCTAGCCCCCCCCCCCCCCCCCAGTTGTTAAATTCTTTCCAAAATGCTAGCGGAAGTTCTTGACACTTAGCGTAAGTTGTGTCGTAGCTAGCGCAGCTATAGTAAGTAAATGTTATACAGGGTGAACTATGAAATCTTACAAAATGTCGCCAGCTCCAAGACAAGATTTAACGTTTACAAGCGCTATCTATTCGCGAAGTTGTACTTTTTCCTTTATAGTCGGGCCGGAATCAGAACAAATCAGAAAACAGAAAGCAGTGAAATTCAAACCTAATATGAGAAACACATTATACATGCCACCGCCTGGGATCACTAAATGCATTCAACCAACGTAATTCTTAATTGGTGATAAAAAAAAGTACTAGCTCTTGCTTCACAAACCTGACAAACCCCACCGCCACCACCACTAAAAATGTCGACAATATTCAGTATCGATATATCGACGAACTAAATATCGATATGTCGTTGCCATCCCTAAACTCACTACAGTGACAATAAACCTAACACAGTGGCGACAATAGAGGTCTCGCCGCCACTTTGTGGCTTTCCTCTTGCTAATTTTAAATACGAATATATAAGATTTAAATGGATATTTATCATACAAAATTGAAAACAATGTATTTGATGACGATTATTAGGTATATCAAATACGTTGTTCTCAATTTGTTATGATCGATGTCCATAAATCGTATATATTCATATTTAAAATTAGCAAGAGTTACGTCACAAAGTGAACACAGTTCATTAATATGAACATATTATAGGATTTTAAAAAACCAATCATAAAGAAAACTGCAATTATTGTCGCCACTGTGGTAATACAGTCACTGTACAACCCACTAGTTGCGCGCGCATCAAGGTTGAAAAAGATACATACCTCAATTTTTTCATTTCTTTGTGAGGTTAAGTTTTAGTTACCTACTTCGCGAATAGATAGCGCTTGTAAACGTTAAATCTTGTCTTGGAGCTGGCGACATTTTGTAAGATTTCATAGTTCACCCTGTATAACATTTACTTACTATAGCTGCGCTAGCTACGACACAACTTACGCTAAGTGTCAAGAACTTCCGCTAGCATTTTGGAAAGGATTTAACAACTGGGGGGGGGGGGGGGGGGGGTGCTGTGGGGCTAGCGGCACTCTAGCCGTCAGAAAATTGATAGTGTTTTGTTTTATAGGTAACTTGAAAAAAAACTTGGCTACTAACACTACATTTTCATTTTTTGTTTACCTTGATACCTTCAAAAACAAAAAAGTTACAGCGAATTAAAATGTTATCAAGATAAATTGAATGCACGGTACAGGGTGGCCTGTTTATTTTATCTTATCTCGGTATATGGAAATCTAAATATTTTATGACAAAAAGTTAAATACAAAAGTTGTAGTAGGGTTCAAATCATTAATTTGTTTTTCTGTATTTGCGCATATACCTACAGGGAGAGTCAAAAAAGTGTGACACATCAGATTTAATTTTTTTTAATGGAACACCCTGTATATTTTTATATTTTCTTTGTTGAAATTTTCTTGGGTATAGAATCAAATAATGTTCGAAATATCAGTCAGATTCCATAATGTATTTATTTAAAAGTTTAGGTAACTTTCGACCTTCATCAGTAAAATTCGTTTTATTCCAAAAATTGGACAATTATTATAAGCAAAATTAACATTTACAAGAACAGAAGGACGACACGTATATTTTAAAATCGTAACAAAAATTCATTTTGTCGTCTTCATATTGATGTCTGTCAAACTTTTTATATTTTTTGATAGCGCTTTCAAAGACAAATATAAATATATTATATATTGAAAATCCGAATGTCCAAAGGTAAATGTAAAATTATTACTTTTCAGTGCTATTTGATAGGGAAAGGTAATCTATTTACCTTTACCTTTGGACTACGGATTGTGAATAGAATCATTGTATAAAAAGCCTTTTTATACAATGATAGAATATATGTATAGGTAGGTACCTACCCACACCTACCTATAATCAATTAACCCATATACCTACCACCTAGCTTCAATAGAATATTTATACCCCAGTCAATACCCAGTATTGTATAGTTTGATTGGATTACACAGTTTCGGATTTATCGGTTATCTTCGTGGAACGGCCAATTTTTAGATTATTGCAGGAACGTTAAAAATAAATATGTATTTTAAAGTTGGATTTTGGCCAAAGAGAAACATATTGGCGATTTCGACTACCGATGGGGGCGCTGGCGTTTGTAAACAAATATGGCGGAGAACATTTTGACGTTCAGCATTGTATTTATATGCATCCGTATTTCTTTCGCTAATTTTCTCGTTGTTCTCGTAGTTTTTTCGGTGGTTTTTTACTATATTTTAAGAATTTTGAACGTTGTGACTTTCTTTTGTGCATTTCATATCCATACAACACGAAATATAGAAAATGGAGGCCTGTTTTTGAGTTTGGCCACAGTTTTATCCCACCTGCAGGCTGGCGTAGAAAGCACGATCACTATTTTTTTTAGGAAAATAATGGAAATGAATAGTTCTGACTGCACCTTTTCGGGAATGGTATTCGTATAAATAAATCGTATACATAGCAGTTTGTGTTATGCTTGGACTTGGAGGCAGATGCCATTAAATTCCTGTAATAATAGCATTTCATAGAATCACAATAAAAGCTTTCCCTTTATTATTTTTCACTTTTCGACACAAAAAACGTAATTAAAATTAGGAACGAACAGAAAACATCGGAAAAGCGAGGAAATATTCCCCAATACGGTATGTAAACAAACGATCTATTACTCTTTAAGTTAGTTCCAAATATTTCCGCCAGGTGCCGCATTGATTTTTGAAATCGCCAATATCGTCTACCTTGTCAACTAATTGTCAAAAATAAGTTAATTTAGTTTGTGATGCGGTATTGCAAAACTTTGAAAATTGTCGTCGCTCTTCATTTTTTAAAATTGCACATCCTGTATATTAAATGTGGGATGAAAAGTACTTTTTAAGATAACATTAGATGGCCAACTTGAAAAAATGTAAAATTTGGAATAAGTCAGTTATTTTTGATTTTAGGGCAATTATAGTGCAACAAAATATACAGGGAATTCCATTGAAAAAAGTGAACATTTAAAAATATCTCGAAAACATGATGCTGAATTGTTTTTCCGTTTTTACCATTTTATTTAGCAGAAGAAATGCTACTTCTTTGCCAATTTAACCTATTTTGTAACTCTTATAATAAGCGAGTTAGCAATAGTGCCGACTCAATTTTAAACACCCTGTGTAATGTCTCATTCAAAAAAAGTTTGTTTTAAAGTAATTTTCATTCCACATCTAATATACAGGGTGTGCCATTTGAAAAAAAATTAAGAAAACGACAATTTTCAAAGTTTGGTAACACCGCAACACAAACTGAATAAGCTTATTTTTGACAATTAGTTGACAAAGACGATATCTTTCCCTTTGGTCAAAGTACGACTTTAAAATATTTATTTTTTACGTTTCTACAATAATCCAAAAATTGGCCGAAGATAACCGTAAATAAATTCGAAACCGTGCATAAAGTCTGTTTTTTTTTTAAAAGATAATTCCCCAAGTCAAAAATTTAGTAACTATGTTGGCAACACAAGCCTTTTCTTCATAACAAATTTGAAAGCATTGACAATTTTACATTGTTGCCAACATAATGTTATTTTAACTTTTATCTTTAAAAAAAAATAGACTTTAGCAATCCTATCAAACTACATATAGGTTGGGCTTAAAAAAAACGGAATTTTGTTTTTGAGCTGTAACCTTTTTGCTGTTGAGCAATTTCCTGTTGTTTAGGCTTGTTTGAAAACCCCTCCAAGGATCTGTGAGACCTTGCCGTTGGTGGAGGGGCACAGCGACTGACCGTGCATTTGAGGTCAGCCGCTGCTAAGGACAGCTCAATCTCAGGGATCCGCACTGCGGACACGGGCTTAGCAAACCCGAAGTACTCCAGGCACCCCAAACCCCTGTCAGGAAGATAGTCGAGACCGATAAATACGATAACAAGCACTGATCTGAAAAAATGGCTGCAACAACTCGGATATGAGAACATTGAAAAGATCGTTTTTAGCATAGATACCCAAACAAGCCCAAAAAGAGATAAACAAAATAAAAAAGCGAATACTGAGGCGACGTTGCAGTCCCAGTAAAACGGGGATACGAGCACCGGTCTAGCTGACAAGAGCGACCGAGATGTATGTCAATTATGTGACACCGCTGGAAGCATTCCAGGCGGTAGAAGCAAAGACTTGGCCATAAGATGCCTACGAACGCACTCGATGGGATATAGGAAATCCGCTCAGAACGGAGACCAGCACCGTAAAAGTGGTTTCCGTAGAACCTGGCAACCTATAGATGAACGAGAGCATACAGAGTATGTATAAGGAAAGATACCCCGAGCTACAGGAAATCAAGGGTGAGTTCGAACAGAAGACGACAACCAAATCAAGAGACAAAGCAGAAGATACTAAGACGCAAATGATAATCAAGATAAACACGGATCACACGGACCAAAAAATATGGGAAAGCTTACAGCAAATCAAGACAGACATAGAGGAAGACCAAAGGGATGCCCTTTATCACTTAAACATTTCGGACATTTCATCTGTGCACAGCTAGATCTAACGTCTTATCACAAAGCCCATCTCATGTGTATCTCATGTGCGCTGTTTCCAATGCTGTGTCGAGCGAATGTGATATTGATCATGATAGGCTGTCGCGGATTGTTGGTGCTCTTTTTATTGATTAATTATTAGGTTTCTAGTATTGGTGAAAAAAATATTTCTGTTTTTTTGTTTGTTGCATTTTTTTATTGTTACTATTTTTTTGCTCTGTTTTTGTTATTTATCTATAATTTAGCACGGTATATGACAATAGCTTTAGTGTGCTGTTGTGCACGATTTTCTATACAGGGTCCCAACTATTTCATAGGGACAGCATTGATTGCTATCTCGGGAACGGTTAAAGTTACGAGGGCGTTTAAATTAGAAAAAAGTTGCCATTTTTGAAGAATGTTAAAAATATAATACTTTGAATTTGAACTATGTCTCTAAAATCAATGGATTTTAAAATATTTGATAAAATTGTTTTAGCAAATTTTTAAAAATCACCCTGTATTTGCGAAAGTAATAGAAATTTGGCAACAACGCAAATATATTTTCATTATTCTTAAAAAATAGCATCTTTTTTCTAATTTAACCGCCCTCGTAACTTTAACCGTTCCTGAGATAGCAATACTGTCCCTATGAAATAGTTGGGAACCTGTATACTTTTTCTTTAAATATTAGTATCTTCCTGTAATTGGGTTAATTCCTGTTGGAAATAAAGAGTAATAATGATGGGGCTCCTTGTGGAACTAAATGTGTAAATATGTGGGTAGTATTTTTGCATGATAAAGGCTTATTATAATAAAGGCTTATTATTAAAGAAAATAAGCCTAATTAAATTCAAAAAAATGGTAGAAGCTGTCTTCCACAACACCAAATCAAACATAGTAATCTACACTACCCAAGAAGCAATAAATGCAACAAAAGAAGGGGGGAATGGAACTCTTGGCAGAGCAGGAAACAGGAAGGAAAGACAAACCTACGTCTGAATTATGGAAAATAAAGATGAACTGTCGAAAGAAACAATAAAGAGAATCAAAGAGCGAGTCGGAAAAACCGACCTGGGAATAAATATCAACACGGTCCTAGAAACCAAGGTGGGAAAGCTTTTGATAACCATGAAGATGAAAAAAGCCTTAACAAGTTGAGAATGAAGTTAGTGAAGACACTAGAAGGCTTCAAAATTAGAACTTCGGGAGTGAACAAACCACAAATGGCACTACATATATATATAAGGGAAATTGGTTGTCACAACCACCAAAGAGGAGATTATCGAGGCAATTACCGACATAGTCGGACAAATAGAACCGGACGAGTGTAAGCTAAGCAGCTTAAGGCCTAACAGGGACGGAACCAAGAACGCAGCCATGGTCGTGCCCGAAAGTAAAGCGCAAACACTACTGGCACGATATGCTAGAAAGAGCACGAAGCTGGATCGAGCAAGTGTGATGCCTTCCGCAGAGCACTCCCGTTTGCAAGGAAAGACGGAAGGCCGAAAAGAATAAGGCGGGACATCAGAACTTAGGCAGAACTATCAATAAAATGTATGCAGATAAACCTCAACCAACAGGTGCGCAATGATGCGCAGCTGCACACGACTTAATGAACCAAAGATTTAGAGAGTGCGAAATTGACGTAATATTAGGGCAGGAATCAAATAGGAAAATAATTAGTAACGTAATCTGTGATACTAACTGTGATAGTTTTGTGAATGTTGGAAACATGACTGATAAACTACCACTTTTCGCCAAACGGCGAGATCCAAGATTTTGAGAGATTACTAAACCGGTTAAAAACAAGTATAAGGCGAACAGACAAAGGAATTATCATGGGGGCGATCCAAACGCCAAGACGATGGCTCTTGGTTCTGCAACGACGAACCAAAGAGGCATCATCCTAGAAGAATGAAGAAAAAAAAAATTAAATTTGATGTGTCACACTTTTTTGACACCCCCTGTTTATGCGCAAATAAAAAAAAAACAAATTAATAATTTAAACCTTACAACTTTTGCATTTAACTCTTTGTCATAAAATATCTAGATTTCCATATACCAAGATAGGACAAAATAAATGGGCTACCCTGTAAATACGTACGTAATTGAGTAAATTGGAGGTTTTAGTTAGCCGATTTCCTTGTTAAAATCAGTATAGGAACTTAAGTATGTATACTACATTTATAAATTAACATTATTTCAATATGGAGACATGAACAATTAAGTACCAGAGGACAGACAGGAAGTATAAATGCAATCAATCCAGGAATTCTTTCGATCTGAACACACTTATTTTAATCATATAAGGTTTGTTTATGAGGCTTCAAACAAACAGTTAGGGCCAATGAAATCGTTGTAAAACCGGATGACAATTGTTTGGAACAAACTTCAAGTGACTTCGATCAGTTTGTTCAGATCGCAAGATATACCTCTAATCTTTAGATAAAACACTTGGTGGAGGGGTAATTTAAGGCACTAGACAAGTAAAACAAATATGAACAACTGAAATAATTCAATAAAATAGAGAAAATAATGAAAAACGACATAAAAAATTCCTTACCGATCCCAATCCTTTCCCAACAACTGTGTCGGGATGTCCGTTGGGACCACCGAAAGCGTTTCCGGCTCCACCGGGTCCGGCAATAGTCGTGGCGGGTGCCCCATTAGGCCTCAGCGACGACATGGGCGGCAAACCTTGTGGGGCTCCACTGTCGGGTTCTGGAATCAGCCCGTAGGCTTCGTAGGACTGATAGGAATTTGTGTAGGCCGATGGGGGCCAGTCGCTCGCCCCCACCGCGTTCGCAGCCCCATCGGTCAAGTAGTAGCCTGACGCGGCACTGGGTGATGTGTAACGGGGTGAGTCTGTGAATTCGTCTGAGCCATACTAGAATTTAAGAAAAAGTTAATTAGTAAGATAGTTATTTGATAACATCAATCGATTCTTAACCTTCATATGGTGTTTTGCAAGGAACATATTATTAAATTAGATTTGGCTTATATAGGTACCGGGTGTCAAGTTATAAAGTACCATCCCCTGTAACTTTTCTATGTACGATCAAAAATAAAAAAGTTCCAAGGGGTGGTGCTTTATAACTTGACACCCTGTACTGTAGAAACTCCATTTTAATTAACAACTAAGTTTTAGCTATCCTCTAATCTAATTTAGTTAGTAGGAACTTGAAGTAGGTAACAAAATATTCTCAGATGATATTGCTAATACTGCAAAATACATAGTGAATTTGAAGTTTCATAGTTTGTACTTCTTCTTTCAGAGGTGGTTCAAAATCATTGGACAATTCAAGTTTTAACTAGCTAAATCTAGTATTAAAAAGAATTGAAACTGAGAAAGATTGAGTATTTATACAATGTAACGAACTCATTGGAATAATTTGGATACACAGTATAGGTTCCTACATGAAAATTAAATTGTTTCACGTACGTAGCTAACAAAATCCCATCACCCTCTCATACAACAACGTCCAAAAAACGAAAATAAAAGAGAAAAGCGAGGCCCCATTATTTTTCATCTGCCCTACCGAGAATAATTTATTTATTTTCCCGTCGGTTCACGAAACACCTAATACATCGATATATTTATTACCGAAACGTGACCCATATTTGTTTCAAGTCCCCTGGCTCGAAAGGGCATATGTGAGGAGGTACTCACATCTTGGGGGACTATTTTTGTACTTGTTACGACTCGGGTCAAGCACAACTCATAACGTGATTATTACCACAGTTTATTGAACCGTCGATTCACACACATGTTGACTCAGAGCAGATGAACTTTCAGTTTTGGAAATATTTATATTCTCAGGATAATATAATATGACCATCTTGTAGCATGATTCAGATATTGAACATTAATATAAATGCAGATTTGAAGACCATAGCACATTTTGATATTTGTAGATGAACACACGAGATCAAGATTTTGCCGTTTTTCTTACTGACTTGCAGAAGATGTCACAATGAATGCAATGGCTATATACACTATCGAAGATGTTGACTGGAAGAAAAACGGAGCTTCTCGTAGATTATAATATTCAGAGGGTAATGGCCTGCAACTCAGATTTGTTGTTATTATTCAGTATTTTAAATATCAATGTTTTGAACTCTAGATGCGAACTATAGAGTGTTTTTCTGGATGAAAATGCGATAACTTAACAAATTTTTGAACCTGTCAATTGATAAATGTCTCAAGTTTGAGAGATTGATCAATAATTGATATAGGCTCAGACAAATTTTCGTAATAGGGCCTTTTCAAAATGTAATCCCTTGACAGTGAACTTTGAGAATACAAAAGAGAAAATAAGGAACTAGAGATTGCGATAGTTACCGTTAACATCTAAATCTCATGAAACATGAAATAATTCACATGAAAACCAAAATGAAAAAGTGTCATCTTTTTTAAAATTTCAATCGGCCCTAATGTCAATATATTTTATTTTATGTGTGGTAATTTCTCAGTACCAAACATTTATCATTTCAAAATGTTTTTTAAAGTCAATTTCCAACAGTGTAATCAATTAAACAAATGTCAGTTCGTTTATTAAAATCCAAATAAAGAATGAAAAGAAATTAAGATCAACCCAATTTATATGGAATACGGCGGCCAGATGAAACCGATATTATTATTTATTGCTAACGGACTTTCAAGAATGTTTAAAATCGAATTATATTTGAAAGAAAGCAACCTCAAAATGATTTATTATTTATTACAATGCAAATCGTTTTGAATGTTGTTTCAACATGAAGCCGTTTTAAATCTGTCTTGTGTGAATATACGTTTGTGTGTGCGTATAATTATCTAACGGTAAATAGCGTGGCCAAAAAAGGAACTCTGAAATTGAACAAAGTGATGCTTGATATTCAAATAAACTCTCACGATGGGTATAGAATTGATTGGGTCTCTTGTTTCTATACACAATATGTGAAGTACTTCTACTGAGTCACGAAATTTATGACAAATTGACTGGGTTGAATAAATAATAAATATACTGGCGCCTTGTGAGAACATTGCTTCTTGGAAAGGATGCTGTGGTTCAAAGGATTAATAAGATCTTTTAAACTACTTATTTCAATTGATATATTTGCTTTGAAAATGTGAAATTATACAAATGAATACATAATAAGTCTAGAAAACTTTAGTCCAATGTTTTCTCAACCACTTATAAAAGTACATAGTTTGATTTGTATGTTAAAAAATAATAAAAACTAGCTGGAAAAATCGCACGGGCGTGATTCAAAATCTTTTCCTCGTGCACATCACTTCACATCTAAATTGTACACTTGATCTTTTGAGATGCCAAATATCAATTCAAAATCTAAGATTATTCACATTTTTCCTATCTATATTAAACAAAATAAAAATTCTAAGGAGAAATTGTCAATTAATAGACATTGATCAAACAATTCTTAGATACAAAAGTAAAAAATCAAAAGCAGGGGCGGATTAAGACTTTTTTCGCCCCTGTGCGATTAAAATTATTTCGCCCCCTTCCAGGCTTTGGGTTATATGTAAAATGTAACAATCCACTGGTAAATTAAGATGCTTATCATCCTTCTCTTAAGCTCTCAGTGATAATCCATTTCTCTGACACAACCATGGACTGCATAAAAAAGTCGTTTATCTATGACTACTCGAAAGGTGATTTTCTCTTGTTATATAGACTGATTCAAGATACTGACTGGGCAGAGGGCTGTTCTGATGTGGATGCATGCATGCAGCTCTTCTATGACAAGTTGTACGCCTGTATTGATCAATCAGTTCCCAAAAAACAGTCACGAGAAGCATCAAAAGCATCAAGCCGGTATCCGGTCTTTTTTACCCGTGATCTTATTTCAAAAATTAAACGTAAGAACCGTCTTCATAGGCAAATTAATGCTGGTAATGCAGATTTCTCGATTGTGAATGAGTACAGAACCTTGAGAAGCGATATGAAAGGGCTTAGTAGGGAAGCACTCCAGTCTTATAATGAAAATATTGAGAAAAATGTACACACTGACCCCAATAGTTTCTGGTCCTTTGTGAGATCTCGTGGTGTGAGTAGTGGAATTCCATCAGAAGTTTCCTATGGAGGTGAAAGTATAGCTGGCTGTCAGGCTATTGCTGATGCCTTTGGAAAATACTTTGGCTCCGTTTTTCAAGAATCAAATAATTTGAATACATTGGACTGTCAGGGGACTTTTTATTTTTCAAGAATAACAGTAGAACAGGTCCTACAAAGTATAAAAAAGTTAAAGGCAAAGAAGGCCACGGGTCGGGATGGTGTACCAGCCTCTATTTTTAAGGGATATGCAGGAGCTCTATCAGTGCCTCTTGCTCTAATCTATAACCTGTCAATTGAACAGGGCAAATTTCTACTAGCTTGAAGCATGCAGTTATTACTCCCATATACAAATCTGGCAATTCTAGCTGTGTTGAGAACTATAGGCCTATAAGTGTTCTGAACTCAGTTTCCAAAATATTTGAGAGATTGCTCTATGATAATATTCTGCTTTTCTTTAGAGACAGCTTCTCCCCAGAAGAACATGGTTTTCTGCCAGGAATGTCTACTGTCTCAAATCTGTGTGTTTTTACAAACTCAGCAGCAGAGGCTATTAATCGCAAAGCTCAGCTAGATGTCATCTTGACAGACTGTACCAAAGCCTTTGACAAGATGGATCACTCTGTACTCATTCAAAAATTGAGCAAATTTAACTTTGGTTTCAAGGCATGTATGTATGTGGGGTCATATCTTTCTGGCAGGTTGAACCAGATTAGAGTAGGGAAGAGGCTGTCTGAGTCTTTTATACCTACATCAGGGGTGCCCCAGGGTAGCAATTTGGGTCCCCTTCTCTTTGCTATATTTATTAATGATTTGCCAAGATGTGTTAAATACTCAAAAAGTCTTCTATTTGCTGATGATTTCAAAATATTTAAGGAGATCTCAACATTGCGGGACTCACAGGAGCTACAATGCGATTTAAATTCAACTTGTCAGTGGTTCAAGAATAATAAAATGATGCTCAACACTTCTAAATGTCAGGTTTTTACAATAACACGAAAAAAACAACTCCTAGAGAACGAATACATAATTGACAACTCTGTGATATGTAGAAAAAGTAATTGTAGGGATCTGGGGGTACACTTTCAACAAAATTTTAAATTCAATGAGCACTATCAGATTATTGTTGGAAAGGCATACAGAACACTTGGCTTCATTATTCGGAACTCGAAGTATTTCAAAAGAACTGAAACCATTATACTATTGTACAATGCACTAGTGAGACCCCACTTCGAATATGCATCTGTCATATGGGCGCCGAAAGCCGAATCCAGCAGTGATCTGATAGAAAAAGTTCAAAAAAGATTCCTGAGATTTCTCTATGTAAAGAAGTTTAATGTGTACCCATATATGATTTCCTATAATAGCATGTTGAGTTGTTTTAGTCTACCTCGGCTGAGCAGTAGAAGAAATATGCATTCAGCCCTATTCGTTTATAACATAATAAATAGCATTAAGTACAAAGATTGTTCCTTAATAAATAGTATTAATTTTTTTGTCCCAAAGGTGCACTTAAGGATAGGCAACTTCCGACTGTTTTTTACTGATAAGTTTGATTGTTCGCCAATGAACAAAATGTTGGAAGAATGTAATATTGTGATAGAAAAATGTGATATAGACTTTTTTAGTTCCTCGGTAAGTAGGATCAAACTTGCCTTTGAAGCCAACTTTTAGTCTTTTTGAATTGTTTTTAAATTGTTTTACCATATTGTATGTTGATGTTATTGCTCTTTTTATTTTCTTTGTTTGTTCACTTGTTTCTTCATGTTAGGATAGATATGCATATAGGTTAGTATTGGCAGTAAGCACTCTTTTAATGTAACTACAAAAATTC